AAGTCATAGTTAACCAACACTTTGTAGAAAGAACTGTAATGGTATCAATTATACTGTATATGTATTCTTAATGAAATTTAATAGATGATTGTTTGTTTGTTTGATTTTAATTATTATCTTTGGTAACTTATATCTTATTATCATGCTTTTTCTAATTATTACTTTAAAATTATGTTATTATTTAACTGACTGCTTAAGGACCGCTATGGCGGCCTTTAATGAGAAAACGTAGGAAGGTGTGCATAATGGTAAAGCCGTAAGTGAAAGTAGAAAGAGGGAGAAGGAGATAGGGTAGAGATTGAATCGACCGGGCGGTGTTGTAGACAGAGGGCGACGGGGATTGGATATTGATGGAGGTTAACCGTTGCAATGTTGTAGATATATGGGGATGAGGTTGTAGCATGCCAATTTGTTACAACTACCCAATTTGTTACAATAATAGAAATTATCATAGACATTCCAAATATTGGATACATTTATATTATGTCGTAGGTTCGAAGCTGAGATGTTGGTGCTGATGGTGAAATGAAGTGCAACATATATAAAGTTTATATATATGAAAAAAGGTGGAATTTGGTGGTTGGGATTGGGATATGATAATCCATTATGAAACAATTAGTAACTGCTTTAAATGCATCATTTTAAATTGATATGAGGTATATTCATAATTAATTGTACATTGATATCTATCTATTAAAATGATGGTATCTGTGATATTATCAAGCATGTTTCACATTGCAACATTTGAGGCTTCCGAACAGACGTTTGCGAACCTATGGTAACTACCTGTCCCTCTGTTGGCCCACTTATTTTTGTTTTCATACGAGGCTGAATTGATCGAAGAGTTTGTCAAAACGAATCATAAAGAAATCACAAAGTCGTTTTATATTTATATAATCTTAAGACGTGTCAGAGAGGTCTTGTCACATTTATCGACCACCAGAATTGGAAGTCAAAAACACAAGACTCTTCAACATCAGCTGCTTATCGTGATCTTTTCCTACAAGGAAACTGACATGGAGAGCTTTCCATCAGACTGTATGATAGACCTGATGATTTCAATTTTCCTATTGTAAATTTCATTTCTGAATAGCAATATCCTTGCATCCCTAACATATGGTGTTTACATGTCGCAGTTGATTCGACATTATCACGATTGTCGTGCAAGAAGTCACCGATTAACGGACAAACTCGTAACACGGGGTCTCAAAAGATGCAGGTTGATGAAATTTTCATGTATTTCTTTTGTTTATATTTTCACTAGTTTTATTGTATTTGATATTGTAATTATGTTAACAGGGTGGTAGTTTCTTATTGGTTTTTGTATCAAATTAGTCAATCTTTGTAAAGAATTCTGTAGCACAGATTTCAAAACAAGAAAAAAATTCTTAATTAAATTCACTTGAACGACAAAACAATATGTAAAGAAAGCTTGATAAATTGACACATTCATCAAAACAATTCTACTAATAAAATCGTTCACAGCATGTAACTTAAATGTGTTCAATTCAAACTTGTTCATTTGTGCTATTTTTTGTTGATCCGTAAACAATCTCTTCGAAACATGAACGTCTTATATACATGTACTAAACCAAATGTGTATTGAACAGAACAAAGACATGCTACGCAATTCTTCCACCTTTTCGTAAAAGGGATTGACTCTTCATCAAGTGGTTGTTTCGCTTTTGGAAAGTTATTAATTGTTTTCATATACACGTACAATTCTTTTAAAAAATGTATCGGGTAGCACACTATCAAATTTCTATTTTCGATTATGTTGTCGAAGGTATTGAATGATATCAAACACGCTTACGTTTAAATTGCATTGATTCTGTACAGAAACAGCTTTATGTTTCAGTAAAAATCCAGCAATAATTCACCATCATACACCACTTAATGGATACCTATGACAGCACAAACAGGGGCGTTTGGGTCTGAAACCGTTTTTTTTTAAATTACAAACTTGATGAGCTTCCTGTTAAAGTGGACGTGTAGGTTAAGGTAACTGAAGATGCTCAGGATCATATTTTCACCGGATTTAGATCTGCACAAGGTGATGACGATACCGAAAGCTATTACGGTCTTATACTCTTACAACGCAGACTTTGCTAGAATCCTTCTACCTAGTTATAACCATGGATACAATGGAGCCGTGTTCACCACAAAGGGATCAGCTGCTTACACGGGTAAAATACAATTCTGATAATACATACGTTACATCACAAAACAAGCTGCTCTTCATGTTTACAGGCGAAATGACAGCATAAAGAAACGAACCGTTCCTCTCGACAATATACTTACATGATCCATTTCAACAAAATACAACATTTAGGAGAACATTCACACATCCTTAATACATATAATACAAAGACACCATATAGTAGGGCACGGCATACTTCCATTGATAAATATACATACAGCTAAGAGACAGTTTTAAACGATCGAAGCTTCTGAATTGCAAATTCATTCAAATGCTTTTCTAACCGCATTGATTTTACTGTATGTTTAAGGAGGGACATGGTATACTGGATCTACGCGGATTTTCTGACGCTACCATACTGTTTACGTCAGAGTGAGGGTGCGGCTTTTGTGTCATTTTGGCGACCCAGTTTTTCAATATGAATGGATCAATCTAGATAGTAAGTACAGTACGTTGTTATTGAGGTGTTGTTAAATAATATAGAAAAAATGTCTTGTGCTATAAATTACCAGAAAAAATATCAATAACCTTTACTCAAAATATATCGAGTTTAATTACTGAAGATTATTTGTAGAACCTATGAATATCGTTCATTTCATAGTTCGAGACTGGATGTTATTATACAATGTTTTTTCCCATGAAGAAGATAACTATAAAGAGATAAGTTAGAGGCGTACCCGGACCTTATTACGGTACAGACTCTCTGTTGGCTCCACACCTCCTATGTACTCGGATGCACAAGGTAAAATATGCTACCCACACCCATGTTAACATGTCTGTTTATAAAACAGGAGCACACCACATTTTGTTCCACAAAACGCGGTTGAGTAGGGGAGACATTACTTTTGGTCCTGTTTCCTTCTGCCGACCGAGGGTATTCGTATTCTTGGCAATGGACAACTTGCCTAAGCCTCATGAACTGAACTGTATCCATAGTTTTAAGTATTGTTTTATAATGCTGTGTAGCCAGTCCACTAATTGACCAAAAATTTCTTTCTCATATCGTACTTGAAATCACAGCAACATGGTAAAATATCGTTGCAATATTAGGCACTCCAGTGTGACGGAACTCTTTAATGTAAAAAAAAAAAAAAGAAAAGAAAAGAAGAAAAAAAGAAGAAAGCAGATTAGCGTTTGTCGGTTTTCATTTTTTTTTTACACCAAAGAACAAAACAGGTATTATTGCATATTGCATTTGGGGTTACATATGGCACAAGAGAAACTTAAATGAAAATGGTGCGTTTTAGTACCAGGCTATATGACCGCCAAGGGGAGGCTTCTAATTGGTAGCAATTTAGATATTGTCCGAATTCAATTACGTTTAGGTTTTAAGTGTTGTTGGACATGACAAATACAATGTTGATGTCCGATTTCAGAGCAGAAAAATGATTGCCCTTGAGATGCGGCTAAGGAAGTGAACTTAGATAATTTTCCAGTTTCAATAAGATTTTATATTAACCTATATCAGTGGGATCGTTATGGAGACTTATGTAACGGGCCTAAAACAATCATTACCTGTTATATGGGTATAGTGGCGCCAACAAAAATGGGGACTTATGATCACTCGAAAATTACAATTTTTTCTGGTTTTCTTTCCTATAACAATGTCCTAGAGATTTCTCAGAAATTGTTTAATGTACACAAATAAAACTCAACTTGGTATGTGTGACGGTCTCTACGTGTGCAACACGGACATCGTTCAAAATATCTGCCATTTATTGTTATCTTATTCGTTAAAACATTTTAGACTTTAAATTCAAAATAAGTTGTCACGCTTTTTTTAAGTCGACATTGTCCAACAAGTATTTTGCAAAATAGAGGCTTCGGATTGGTCACAACTTCCTATTTTAATTAGATCTTGTGAAGTGTACTATGTATAACACCAGAAACAACTTTCTATTTCCCGAATGGACACTGTGGTCGCGATTTAGTTGCTATAATTGTGGTAAATTTAGATATACTAGAGTTGTGGCCTATGCTATGACCCTTGGTTTGCATACACCGAAACGACCGTAAGAGAGTAAGCTATGTAATTTTACATAGGATATTCAAGATTCATCACCTCTACTTTTGCTGTATTTCATTCGATGAAAAAAAGGGTATTGAATAAGATGGATTGATCAACTTAATGTGACTTTTTTTTTTTTTTTTTTTTAGTTTTGCAAATACAAAATTTGATAAAGTCATTGCGCCAGAGTAGTAATTGTCGGTACCTGAGATCTCTATTTGACTAGGTAAGAGGCGCTTAATAACAGTTTACACTATGTTTTTCAGTCTCAATCACAACAATGTGATTTCGCTTAGATACTGTTAGCAGCATTAAAATAATTCTTCTAGATCTGTTATCAATTTCAACTAATGGTTCATAAAATTTAGGCGTGGTGTACTACGGCTCTGGCAATGATGTGCACGTTAGCATTGGAGGTGTCGTATTTGGATATAGCAACAACACCGTTCGTCTGTGGTCACCGAGCAGGGTTATTTTGAAGGATAATGAAAAATACTGTATGTATACATTTGGATGGTATGTAATAGTTACGTATACGCGTATTCTACGTTAAAAAGATATATTTACAATTTTTGATGAAACACAAATTGACTGAAATGTTTTCTTGTATAAAATGTTCATTCGCTCGTAATTGGTTCTAGATAAAAAAAAAAACCCACAGGCATGTCATATTTTGTTAACTTGTGTTTGGAATTTTTATATCTAAGGTTTTTTTTCCTAATTACAAAATGCCTAAATCATCAATAACGGTTGTTAAATCACAGTATTGTGGTTGTTTTATTTCACGCTTAAATGGCTGTCTGCAACAGTCATGATGGCTGGGGAAGTAACGTAAATTCATATTCAGAAAGTGGACGTGTGCGAATACTGGTGTGGATATTCTCGTCCGCGGAACGAGTGTTCGCCAAGTCGTTAACCATGAGTCAAAATCAACAGATCACATATGAAGTCGATCTCCTACAGGAGTATAGCATTGACGACTACCTTGTGGCTGTTGACGTAAGGCGTTACTGGACAAATACTACACAAACTCATGATAAAACAAGGTCATAAGATTTCTATTTCGAGTTGCGTTTGTTTTGTATTTCTCATTTGTTTTTTAAAACCACCTTAGTAGGTTTGGTATGATGCGTTATATTACCTCTGTTGTATTCGCGGAATTAAATTCAGTGACTCAAAAGATATGCTTATTAAAAGGAGAATCACCAGAAGTCTGTAAATTTCAAGCTCTTGTTGGAGTTTAAGCTCCAATCGATAGGTTTAATTAGCCATATCTCAAAAATCTCATTGTAATGCAATGCTCTGAATATCGGAGCTTTCCCATGCGAGTACGAGATTATAACAATCCATATTTCAGTATTTTGTTTACTTTGATTATAAATACAATATCTACAAAAACGTGTTGCCACCAGAGACATATTTGAATTTGAAAAGAATCAGCGTTGCCGAGAAACATTTGTGACTAAGATATTAAAACATTTTAAATCCTATAGCTTGCTTGATTCTAAGTCAAAGAAAATACTCTCGCAATCGAAATTTCCATAACGTAAACGCTGCATGGAAGTCGGCTTTCTCTTCCATTCGAATATTGACGCAGTTCGACTATGGGGCTGCTGCACCTCCCTGTTTAGAGCTTGACTTTTCTCTCGATCAGTTTGGATTTTTCTCGGTTGACTCCTAGGCTTCATAATTTTATGCAATTGGTATGTAACTCAAAAAAAGGAAGTTACCATATTTTGGATATAAGGAAGGTTTGATCAACACCAAATCAGGTACACTAATAAGCGCGTTAAGGTTTTACATATTTCTAAGAATATTCCATGGTGTTTCGCAGGTTACCGTCAGTGACGGAAACAACAGTGGCTTCCGGTTCGTGGCAGCTGGTAACAGCCAGACCGACGGGACTTATGGTCAGTATGGCGGAATTATCTACGTGTAAACCAACATGACCGTTGTGGCGACCCCCCGACCTTTACGACGGTAAAATTGTCTATATTGGAGGTATCTAAGGAGGTGGTATGAACCAGCAGTCTTCTACTTCTGGCGAAGTTAGCATTCGCTTATATAACACTTCCGGCAAAGGTTAGTACTTACGCTTATATAACACTTCTGGCACAGGTTAGTAAATACACTTATATATTACTTCCGGCACAGGTTAATACATACGCTTATATATTACTTCCGGCACGGATTAGTATATACGCTTATATATTACTTCCGGCACGGGTTAATACATACGCTTATATATTACTTCCGGCACTGGTTAGTACATACGCTTATATAACGCTTTCGGCACAGGTTAATACATACGCTTATATATTACGTCCGGCACCGGTTAGTACATACGCTTATATAACGCTTTCGGCACAGGTTAATACATACGCTTATAAATTACTTCCGACACAGGTTAGTAAATGGACTTATTTATTATTTCCGACAAAGGTTAGTACATACGCTATATATATATGTACAATAGGGATGTGCTCTATTTCGAGATCTATAACCATTTTTACCTTAAATCATGTGATAACTGGAGAAAGAGAAAATCACATATAAATCAACCTGACACTTGGTGAGAAGATTATGCATACCTCCGTTATTTATCCGCCAAGGATGTATGACCAATCACCATCATCAAATGCACCCTGTCTCCCGTCCTATTTCTGGTTCTTTGATTAGAATCTAACAAGGGAAGATTAATATGATATTGTAATATATCCTTGCAAATGTAATTCTTGTTTTCTCAGAAGATCAGGAATCCTATATTTTGATCATCAATTTACGAGGGCTGATTGATAAGTTGTGAGCCTCATATTTAAGTGTTTAACTTGGGTTTTACATTTTCTCTTAATTGCCTAAGAGGCGATGCATAATATGTTATATATATAGAATTGTTTGTCCATTTTGCAAATAATCTACCATAAAAATTCAATCAGCATCCTTGAAAAACGAGGCCATATCCTTTCCGCTCTTTGCCCTCTTTGGCGGGGGTGATCCAGGGTGCTTCAAGTGTTTAGACTGTTGTTTGGCCACTGAAGCGAAATGATGGACTCATAGTCTATAGTTTCACACAGAGTCACAAACCTCTGCAGAAAGTTAGCAGGATATGCCTCTGAAAGGTTCTGAATGGCACGCGACAATGTTCGTCTGGTGTGCTTCTGATCAACTGTCAGAAGTCTTGGTAGCCAACGGCCTGAGGGCTTCCCACTTTAAGATCTTCCGTAAGAATTCAATGTACTCTTTCCTCTGAAATTCCAACTGTACTGTCTATATGTCTATCTGTAACTCGCCTGTAAGCCATAATATTATCATGGACTTTATTGACTGGGTTTGCAACAGTGACAGGCCTTTCAGGAAGGGCGTCATCCCCAAGGCTTTGATTGTCACACTTAATATTCGTCACTTACCATTTCACTGTAGCATATAGAGGGGCACCATTCCCTAGTGTTGCTACCATATCAGTATGGATATCCTTAGGTACTAGACCTTTCTTATGCAAATGTTGAATCACTGTTCTTTCATTTTGTCCATCTTTCAAAAGTCACTTTCAAAAATCAGCCTTTGACAAAAGATAAAACAAAACATTTATGTTTCCTTTGGAAGACAAAGGACCATACGTAACCGGATTCTGCTCTCGTCCTATGAATAGTAACAACGTCAAGTGCTCCTGACCGACCACATACACCGCATTATACTGCCAGTTATTGGGTACGTTTCTGTTTTTGTCATGTACCTCTTAATTTTACACGTCCATTCAGGATATAAAACCATGTAAGACTTCTTTAAAGGCAAGTGTATCATCGATACTTTACCTAACCACTCCTTTCAGGCCTTTAAGGGTCACTCGATAGAGCAAACAAAGTGTAGCCAAACGTACATTGGCCTGAACTTGTTATTGAACTGTTGATAACTTCAGAGCAAGATATTAACAGTAAATATAATTAGTGTTTTTATCTTACAGAAAACGCTACGAATACAACAAACACGACCCCGTTAGACACAATCATAGCTGAAACAAATACTACGGAATCTTCGACTCTATCAATAACAAAAACTGCAAGGACTGACCAAACCACTGACAAATCTACACAAACAGGTATAATGTCTTCGATACAATTTCATATGCCATGACAACGGCGAGTGAAGATTTGTCTGTTACATCGTAGGTCTCGGCTCAGGATGTGTCAACTGCAGTTCCACAAAAAGGCGAGACTACAATCACTGTGTCAGCCCCTAAAACGCTAGTTTGCAATGGTTCATCAGACGGAAGTGTGACGCTATATTCCTGTGCCATCGGATATTTTATCATAGCAGGAGATATTGATAATCATTGTCGTAACGGCACGTGGCAAGAACTGTTACCTGAGTGTTCAGGTTAGACTGTATTAAATATGATATCAATTGTCAGTCAAGTTAACTTTGATTATTATTTAGTTTACAATACTTTGAGTCTATCATCTCTATAACGTTTTACAGATACCATTACTTAGAATATTTTATTCACAATAACGTTATAGTATTCAACAACATCAAATCTATCATCTACGTTTAGAATGAAGATAGATAAAGGTTATATTTTGACGAAAGTGAAGGTATAGGGAAAAAGTTTTTGGTACTGTGGCTCAAGCTACCAATACATATAGTCTATATAGAAATAATGGCAAGGGTTATCTTTGATAATTTGTGGTCAAACAATGTTAATAACTGATCCTCACGCTTATAAAACTAAATGTCAAACAAGACCAACATCGTACAACGCACACACAGTAGTTCTCAATTTAGTTAGCTATCGTTGCATTTGAATTATCTTAATAATTAAAGAAAATATTTCTAAAGGCTATACGAAACAGGTGTTATTTAACAATAGCCGTTCAGTACGGAACGTAATATATGGATATAACCGACGTTTTCTCCAATTTGGGATATTTTAACTGCATATCATGTTGCGTTTTTTCTTTGTCCAATCATGTTTCAGGGTGCACATATCCGCAGACCTCAATACCAGTTATGTCTGTAAAGTCCGTAAAATACAACTCGTATCATATCAGCAGAGTACCTCATAAGACCACAACATTGTATAAGTAGACCCTTTCGTGCGCCAACGACCCAAGACCATCCGCTATGTATGTAGGATCGGGGGCATTCTGATCTTATGCATGTTCATCTTCCTCCCAGTGTTGATTGACGTAGTTAACATTATCCATAATAGTAATGCCAGATGCCGAGTCTTTATGAAAAAGAAAAACACATTTTTTGTGAAAGTTGCATCAAAGAACAAGATGAAAAGGGCGTTAGTTCAATTTCTGGGTTCATCAATCATGTGTTTTTCTCTTCACAACAAAAGACCATTGTGTCTGTTATAGAGTGATGTATGTGATCAAATAGCTTTTTTGTTGTTTGATAATTTTCTCAATAGGTTAAGCTGAAAATTAATTTTTCAAGTGGCGGTTCTTTATACACCAAGTGTAATGCTAATTACTGTAATTGTAATGTTTACGTGTATATGTACTGGGTATCGATTTATGTCTAAAATCTTTTCAAATTTCGTACCGAATTAGTTTATCAGTAAGTGCTATTCATTGACCAAGGCCTCTGACTTTATCGATATTTCTGAAAATTAATTTCATTGGCTCGTTTATTGTATCGACCCGTACTTCGTGAAATAAAACAGGTGTTAAATTGATATGCCCAAGACAATGATATACTTTGCAGTTGAGGTGGAAGAAATTTCTGTTTTACTGAAATGTATACAAGATTTTTATTGACGATTGGTTCTATCGTTTTATTTAAGGGTAAGTTTTAGTTATTTTGTATCATGATATACTATCTTTTATTGATAATCCATTTATTTGGAACCAAAGTTCGCCAAACACACACCATTTATGAAGGTTCTTGAATATTCACGTCGTACATCTTTAGTTAAATAATGGCATACTATGATTCTAAATTGTTGTATGTTTTAAGACGGAAATTGTCATTATCGATTTAAATGATTACTACTTTCATTTGTGTCGTTCTGAAATCACAATCAACAGTGGTTTGAAATGCAGTCATAGTTAAACCGTTTTATCCATTTTCAAACATGTCTAGAAATATCAAAATTTATCTGAACGTTCGTACGTCAACACATGGTAACCTGATTTATATAAAATATATTGACTTGTAAAAATATCTATTTCGATGTAATTAGTAGATAAATATATTAATAAATTTTACAGGTCCTTAACGTTAACATCGGCTGTTCGAAAGTATTTGGAGTTTTTACATAGATGTACTCATATGAACATCTTTGTATCAATGCAATAAACCATGTTTAATTCAATTGATGACGAAACCGTAAGTCGTCATTATATTAAGCTCAGAATGTTGTCTATTAGGACGGAATTATGATTAATTTGTTCTAGATTTTCCGCTACCTAAACAATTGGGTTGATTTTAAGGCGGGTGCATTACGTGATGGAATTCATATATATATGTGTATATATATATCTTGTAAAATATTCTAACTATTACTATTCATGCGATCTATGTAAAATGCGATTAATAGCACTTCGACTCATAGCAAGTATCGTTGATGTAGGCGTTTTAACTTAATTATGAAACAATACAACGAAACTTTTATCACACTTACTAATATCATACAAGTGTTGCGACATTTCCTACCTTATATACTCAGATGTGTGTTTGCAATAATGTTTTCCATATCAATATATTATTATTAATATATTATTACATTTATTAAAAACGAGTTTCATAAGTTTCCTCGTAAATTTTTAACAATGAAGAATCTCTGCATAAATCAAGTATCAGTGCCTGTATTGAAATATATTTCCAATGCCTTTCCGTTAGTCAGCTTGCATATGCATAATTGATTTTGTAGCTTCCGGTATATGACGTCATTCTATAATAATCATAACTTATAAATTGAGTGCCACCAAATTAAAAATATATCGTGATAATTGTATACCGGGATGTGTTTGTAAGCTTTGAATTTCATATAGCATTCGTCCAGCATAGTAGTGTGTTTTATTAGTAAAAGTTGTAACTCTCCGTCTTCTCTTTTCTCCGTTAATAAGAAGACATTAATTTTAAGGATGTACTCTTCTCTGAAGTAAAAAAAAAACAGTTTTAACCTTTTTCTAATGACGGGTTTTTCTTTTCAAACGTTTGAATTTAGAATGTAGATTAAAATCAAATACATTGTTTTGTTATTGCACTTTTTCCTGAACAGGCGTCAGATAATATGCAACAGGTAATTATTTTCAATATATTATCTTACTCTTTGCCTGAATAACGTTTTCTGAAATAAGTAAGGGTGTGATACTTAAGTTTTCATTTGATTTCATGAACTAAAAACTGCTAGGCAGACACACATATCTGTTATTTGACCATCTTCTAGTTTTCTAGTTAAACATTTATAAGACTTTACATTTTCAAAGTTATTTTTCTTGATTAAAAAGGGAGTCTTTCTGCTTTACGTTTTGCCAAATAGCCAGTTTTTCTAAAATCTTGAAACCAGCAGAATTATTAGTTTTTGGGTCCTAAAAATCCTAGAAAGTGGTAACCAAGTCGGAATTCAAGAATTAGCCAGTTGTTCTAAGATCTTGAAACCAGCAGAATTATTAGTTTTCGTGTCCTAAAATCCTTGAAAGTGGTCACCAAGTCGGAATTCACGAATTTGAAATCTCCGATACCTAGTGATAATTTAAGCAGACTTTTGTTGAAAGTACCTGTACAGCAAAAACTGAAAGTGTTGAGGCTTAACGAAATCACACCGTCAACTACGCCTTCAAATAAAATTGATTACTGGAGCGAAATTTCTTCAAAACGTTATATAAATCGCCCGTTTTCAACTCATTAGTACAAGTACAGATAAAAAAAGTATGAAAAAGACAAAAGTTCGAATTAATCTGTTGGAATCCGTTTTACATTGAATAATGACTTACTTTCGGTCAAAACTTCAGAGGAATACATCCTTAATCTATGGTACAGTAATAAGTTCACGTCCGCTCAAATGCTTAATATAAATAACTAAAACCAATTAACAATCAATGCGAGAGGCTGATAGCAAGGCCAATAAGTGACAATCGGCGAGTGTATAAGTTATACGATAAGGATTAATTTCTCATAGAATTCCATTACGATATGATGTTTGATGTTTGTGCATGAGTATGCCTGGTAGTTTCGTTGTTAACCTTGTTCTCGTTTGCAAATGTGACATTGTTACTTCAATGAATCGCCCAATACTTACATGCCAGATGTTCTCAGTGAAGAAAAAACATTTACTTTTTCAGAATACATGGCCGTTTTTTAGTCGTTGGATTCCATGAATTTCCATGTAAATGATTTCATTTTATACGTGTTTTGTCCTAGTATTTATCGATTTTGAATTTGGATAAAAACTCCGTTAATCAATAATTTCTTGCTTAAGATAATATAAAGGTAATTGATTTCAACCAAAAATTGAATCAATCAATGCGAGAGGCTGATATCAAGGCCAATAAGTGACAATCGGCGAGTGTATAAGTTATATCAATAAGGATTCATTGTTAGCCAGTCTCATAGAATTCCAGTACGATATGATGTTTGATGTTTATGCATGATTATGCCTGGTAGTTTTTATTGTTTTCATTTGTATGTATGGTTTTAACCAATTCAATTTGTTTGCACCACAATACAAAACATTCATTATATCTGACGCTTTTCAAATCATCCGATTTTATTGAATATACTTCTTTTGCGACTTAGGTGTCTTGTAGTATTGAAGGAATGATAAATTATAAAGTATATAGGAGGTTTTTTCCTTTCTATATGCTGACAAAAAATTTAAAAAGAAAGAAACAGCCTTATAGTTACTATATAATTTACTTGACATTAATTGATGAATCTAACCAACACATGCACTAGTCAATTACTACGTTTTTACGAGGAAATGTTGCAGGAACTTTCTGAGCATGGTCATACGGTGGATGTTAGTGTATTACTACATCGTGCTTTTGTAGGTAATTGTTGGTATCACAAATTAATGTAGTTTCTTCGAATGCTTTCGGTCATACCAAATGTAGATATATTGAAAGATCATACATTTTTTCATATGCATGAAGTATTGGTGGAGTATGAAAAAAACACCCCAACAGTCACGTGTTGCAATAGTACAATTGCTGACATCAAGTACACCATTACAGAAATAAACGAATTGATTACCTTCACGTGTTTATGATCGATAATAAGACATTGTTTACTGAGATATGTCCGATGCCCTATATATATATATATATATATGGGAATAACAGCTTACAAAAACTTTCATAGTTCCATAGTTTAAATAAACACTCATTCTTTCTCAGAACAAACGAATCGAAGTAAACACTTATCTTTACGAAAGTGATCGATACAGATGTAGTTATTTCCTGGGTGTTATACTAATTGCCTTGTAGTCATAAATGCTAATAATTCAATAATTAGATTAGCAAAACAAAATTCAAATCAATTAAGTGACCTGTGAAACATATCTCATTCTCTTTTATTGTTATGCTAGTTTTTATTGTACATGTGTATAACATGACCATTGACAATGACACATATACTCATCAGAACATTGGATCAGTGCTCCATCTTTGTTAAAAAACTTTTCTTCATAAAAATAATTCGACGAATTCATGAAGGAAACAATGTATAGTGAGAGAAAAAAGAAAATAAAATTATCCATAATAACACTGTTGAAATCTAATTATCATGTTGGAATTTTACGTTGAATTATGATTTTCTTCCGACCAAACATCAAAGGAATACATCCGAAAAGCGATATCGCAGCAAAGTAATGTTTTTTACTGGTCTTTAAAACATTATTGCATTTATACATCAAGTGTATCACTTTATGAACGATAGATGTTGGATTTCGGTGAAATATAACATAAATAGTTTGATTACTAATTATAAAAGAGAAATCCTTATTTGTTGTTCAACAGTCTAGTTATGTATCTTTTATTAAGATTCATTAAGAGTTATTCAAATTCTAAATAATGAGGAAAGTATTAGACTAAAGTATTGGCTCACATCTCCTTTTATATTTGAACATTGTTTGAGCCGATTTACGTCTCCATACTTTTGGTCACAACCATCCTTAAGGAGTATAGAAGGAGTTTATGATGGTGACATGTACACAATTAGGCAGTTAGATTCATATTGGAAAGAACATATCCTCTTATATATAGCTTTTTTAGATTGCTGTCTAGTAAATTTTTCTGGTGAGCTTTATAAATTGCGATTTGCTGTTACCCTGTTTTTATTCGTCAAAGTTATTTCCAAATGGAGCTCTTAGAACAGATCGAAATGTACTGTATTTTTGCGCGTCCTTTTTACAGTCAGTTGGGCATGTCTTTAGAGCAAACAAACTTAAGTCACTGAGTATTGTAAATCATAGATTTCCTCGCAGGCACAAACATCATTCTCTGAAGAATCTCCATCTCTTTACTTTTCATCAAATGTTGTTAGTTCGTCCAAAATCTGAAAGGTTGTCATGATCGTCATTTTGAAACGAACAAAACCACAAAAATAAAATGCACATTTTGCTGAAACTTTTTAAGGTTGATGAAAATAGGATGTCAATAAAGTTAAGTAAGTGACCTGGAGAATCATTAAGGTGGTTATATTTGTCCTTTTATAAAAAAAGGTCGCACAATCATTGCTTGCCAAGATATATATTTATAACTTTACTCTTATAGAGTTCAACCATCAAACTTATGATATATTGAACACAAATGAAAACCTCGACATTAAGGCTACATGGATATATATTATCTTCCATCAACGGGGTCAACTACTGAACCACTTCGAAGAACTAATAATCAGTCATCTTATGAGAATGTCCGGATGTTAACTTGTCTTTCTGTTTAAGAAATTGTTAAGATAAAGTACATTTCTTTATACGTATACATACAGTTTTCATGGTGAACTGCCTCAATACACCATCCTTCGAGAGTGCATGGGTGCTGTTGACGGCTCAGGCTGGCACAGGTAGTCAGCTCACTATTTCACATACCCTCGGGGAGTACCCTGTGGAGGTGGACGTTCAGATAAGGATTACCGACAATGGGGAATATTATATATTTACTGGTTCTGGTTCGGCTCACCGTGATGACGATTCTAACACTGATTACGGTGGAGTGGTTTATATTTACAACGACGTAGACATACGAGTATATGCACCAGACGGAGAAGGCATGTTCTTGGCTTACACAACTGGCTTAGTGGCATATACAGGTAAGTCCCCTGGTTTAATCAATTTGTATTAAAAAATAAAACATTTTACAAAAGTAACACATACTATACTATAGACAATATCGTTTTATACATTGGTATTATGGCCACATCTTTCTTACATATATGAAAACAGCATTATATATCAAGCCATACTGTTATAACATTTCCAGGATGGAAATCGTATGAAACTTATCAATCTTTGTTTGCAGGAGGGTCTGGAAGGACAGGGTCAACTCTCATTGGTGGATCATACAGCTCTGCTGAAATCAAGGTTAGAGTCTGGAAACTGTGTGATATTGGTCCTCCAGCATATTCTAGCCAATGGACAGCAATAAGTAGTAAGTCACTTGCTTTAGAATATGTGAAAAGTTATGTACAATATATACAGTGAAACAATGAAAGAATACAAAGAAAAGTATCCATTACATATAACATAACTTGTGTGACTGTTACTCGTGTTTTTACCATGTTTGATCTACTACTTTTAAAGACTTGCTCAGATAAGGCATCCCCAAAGTGTAGAATAAAATTACTCTATCACGTGGACACACAAAGCTCTGAAAATGTTACACTTGCGTCAAAATACAACGCTGCATCTAATTCGCATTGTAGCGATGTAAATAAGTTTTTTTCCATGTGACGTCGATAATAACATCAATGTGCAGTTTTTTGACACCGTTTGATTGATGTTGTACAGACGATGTTACAACATTATATTAATGTCATGGTTTTGCTATGAATTCTACCGTTAACGAATAGTCTTTTCAATACATTGTAGATAAATGAACTGTAGAAAAGACCCCGATAATTGATCAGTTGCTGAAGACACCGTGTTATTTTTGTTCTATATGTACTCTCACTCGATTTGTTTTTGAACAGACATTATTGAAGCTACGCTCTAAGTTAAGTAAAATATGTAGGTAAACATACCTCAAGGAGTTGCTTCTAATATCAGTAGATTGTTTCCCGCCAGCATGCAGTCCCATCAACTGACCGACAGTGATCTGTGCTGTGAATATAAAATTTAAACAGATGAAGAACCCCGCTAAAAGTTCGTTTACCCTTCTTTACATAGGATAAATACATAGTCAGGAAGCAAACATCTTTCATTAAATATTATTTATTTTTCACATTCAGAACTCCTAGTGTTGGCCAATGATAAAAATATACCTCTCCTCCGGACAAAATAGTAGGTCACGGGAGATAAATCCTGATATCACAACACTGCTTTCGTTAAGGATTTCTTTGATGTTGATTAGTACATTATTGATACAAATATTGATATTAATACTTTCGTTAACTATACAATATGGAGTTGTTCTTCGTTAAAACCTTGATGTTGTTAACATGGATTAACCAAAATTTACGGTATGTGCTATCGATGAAGTGGAATATGCTTTCCTTTCCGCACCAACTTGGTCTTATTCTCGTGGGATTTTTTTTTACTAGAGCCTCCACATAAACTGTTTTGCCATCGTCTCCTAGATTTGCGTCAAGTGAAATTGTGTCAACTTGAAAGTATTATGTTGTTTATTGTTTACACAGGCACATTAGCTTACCACGAAATATCGCATAACCTGAATGTTTATCCGGACCTGGTTACCGTGCAGATAGCACTTGATACCACTGATTACTGGTCGGATGCACAAGGTAAATCGTACATTAATTGGCGCAGATTAAAAATACATTTAATGTTTCAATAGTTAAGCTTGATTTGCCATATTTCTGTTTTGGCAGATAAGTGAAGTGCAAATTTCTGAAGTAGAACTACTTTCTGCATTTAAGAATACGTTCGAAAAACGTTTATGTTGGTTTCGATTCTATAACATTGCAGAGCATTATCAGCAAACTAGTGTTTAAAATCCGTATCTGTCGAATCTTATGGTGATTTTTGATAGATATAATAGGAATTTGAAATAACAAAATGCGATTTTTCAATTTGAGGATGTAGCATCTTGAATTCCGATTTATGAAATTGATTGGAATAACCAGTATCGAGATGTGTTCAGTTGGTACATGATAAAGCGGGATTTATTGACCACTTGTTCGTTTGATGATATTCGTTATTGCAGCCGTTACCAATTGCTCAGTTGTATAATTGATCAATGCTTTAAAAGGTCAGTACTTTTGCAGTTATATCGTTTTATGTTTGTTGCTAATAAAACATATTAGAAAACATTCATCATCTTTCCTTGAATATAAGATTAATAGAAAATCAATTTATTTACTATTATCAATTAGTCTTGTTAAGAATTTGCAAATATTAGATATGTCGTGTTTTTATTGTTAATTATCCAGAGCACTTTCAATATCTATATTCTTTGCAGGAAGCGCCGGTATAACGGATACCACTTCACATCTAAACTTTGGAGGGGTATTATTTGGTTACGACACAACTAGGATACGATTGTGGGCTTCAAGCGAAGGTACGATAATCACGGATAATCGTTTCCCATAAGTATACAGATGGAAAAAAGAAAATCTGTATTTCAACTGTTTAACTTGTAAATTGATACGCAAAAGAATATCTTATATTTTGTTATAAACCTCCTTTCACAATGCATTGTCTTCATAATGACAGTGAATAAGACAATTAATCAACCAGGATAGAAATATATTCAAAGAAAAGCCAATCTGGGCATACATTCAAAACTGTCTATTCCCATCATTCGCAATGATGTTTGCCACTCATTTACCACGTATGGAACTCATCAAATTACAAAGAAATGGATTGGGATACCAATGAACCACGGTGACTCTCTATTGACGGATAAATGGGGAAAAAACGTGAAGATGCTTAATTTCTGTATGGTAACGACTTGTTTTCCTTCCACTCAAACCAAACGAGTGATACAATGTGTTGTAATACCACCAATACCACAAATACTCCCTCTGCCAAACTTACGACGCTTGATAACACAAATGTCACCTCCTGGCCAACGGTTCATGCGAACACACCTGTCACTACTATCAGGGTAAAATCTGGACTTATCCGTTGTTAACAGATTGTTTTTCTGTTGGTGAATCGCATATGTCTCCTGTACCATGTTAAGCGCACGTTGAAGCCTCTCATTATCCGTTTTGTATGGTTCTGGAACGGATCAATCTTAGTCGAGAAATGCTTCTAGCGGTCAGTGAAGAAGACACTTCAAACTGTCTTTTCATATCATTTTAAGTTATTTCAGCCTCCAACATGCCAATAATACGCAGTGCAAACGTTCCATTACGCTCATAAGTGGTACGTTCCTGGAAAAAACCAATGTTTTTTTTATATAGTGCATAGAATATTATCCGTAAATGCACGAACTTTTGACTGTTCCGTTTGTATTTTTTGCATTGGTTCGAAACTCGAAAAGAAATCATGCACTGACCATTGTAACGTAACGGAAGTTTTATTTTCAAATCGAAAAGGTGTGATACTTCAAAAGATATTTTTTTGAATTATAGACGAAAAAAAATATTCTGATTACTCAAACAAACAGTTTCGATTTCGTTTTTACATCGAAGTATGCATGTCGTAGTACAACATATCACCACAGTAATCATTATATGTGGATTGACGTAATTTAAATGTGTGTCTACACGACATTTGATTCAACTATTTAGGTATGGCTAATATATGATGGTTTTGGCAAATAATGGTATTGCATTTCTGTATTTTATTTCCTAGAAGTTAAGGGAACTGCTTATGATTAGGTATGTTTTTCAGGATACGTTTTCAGTGCTTATGATGGATGGGGGACGAATGATGATTGGAGATTTGCTTCGGGCCAAGTAAGGATCATCTGTTGGATATTCCCGCCATCCGAGATACTTTTTCAGCATACATTATCGATGGGTTTAGGACTGACGAGCACTTATGAAATACCATTTTCTTCTGACCTGGAGACTGACGACATTTTAGTTTCGACAGAGGTAGACCTTCAATATTATCCATACTTTTGTAATTTGTGAATTAAATCTCGATTTGTCATATGTTGAGTTGTGAAGGAAATGTAATCTTAGAACTCCTAGAGTTTGGAAATGGCCTGATGGTGAATATGCCCTCATCACTCTATAGAGAAAATAAGCTGTTCGATTTGATACATCAGAATACATGTAAACAAATCAGAACTGATTTTCATAATTAACAAAATTTAGAATAGCCTGTTAACGACAGCAGTATACATACTTAATGTTTATATCTCAAATCAAAAGCTTTCTTAGCATCAGACGTTTAAGGGTATATGTTACTTATGCATGTCAAATAATCTGTTTGTATTAATGCTTACATCACACATTTTATAAAATCTCTTATCTTATTTTTACTACTGATAACATTGATTTTGCATGCTTGATAAGTCTGAAATGATTACTAGTTGATATCAGCGCGGGTGATATCGCACGCCCTGAAATGATAGCCCATTGCTTTTGAAAGTGATATCACAGGTTTTTTTTTTTTATATTTTGCCGCTTCCGCTTATCGCCGTCTGATTTGAACATAAACGTTGTTGGCTTGGAAGAATTTTTTATTTCTTCGAACATTAATTAAGAATCCAATACAAATTTCCAGATGGTGCTGTTTCCAGATTGGTTTCTGTTATTAGTGCTATACCTGCAGTTGTCGTCTGCGAACATTAACAGCTTAACATGGCGTCTAGCACTAATAATGGCGTGGCAGGTTTATTTAAAGAAAACAAACACATGATAAAAAGACTATCATATGACCAATTTGGCCTTTAGCCCTCGGGCTGATATCAGAACAATTGGGCTGAAAAACGGGGTGATATCAAAATGGTAATTTAATAATCTCAAAATAATGTATGTATTGCGTACTCAAACGAACTTTCGTAGTCGAGCGATTATTTCTGAACCGTTAATTTAACATTATTTAAACAAAACTTAATTTCTATGATAAAAAAGTGAAAAGAACCAATTTCATAAAACAAAAATATGCCCTTTGATTAGATATCATTCTTATTTTGATCTCGAAGGTTTCGAAATATGGCTGAATGATTCTCAAACCAAACCAAAAGATGCTTCACCCCTGCATCAGTATACTATTCAGGTTCTTACAATAACTATTTTTATTACTCTGCTGTAGATCACAGTCGCTGATGGAAACAACCCTGGATTCCGATTCTATGGAACAGGAAACAGTTTAACAGACGGAAGCTATGTTCCTTTTGGAGGAGTTGTTTACGTATACACTGAGTCACAGATATTGCTGTGGCGACCGTCCGACTCTTCTGGGGGTAAAATGGTATACCACGACGTCATTTGGGCTTCCGGTCACATGAATCAGCTGTCAGATACAGCACAAGTAACCATACGAATAATGACGGCTAGTGGTATTGGTAAGTGTGTGGATTGCTATTAGCATCTTATACGTGAAAATAGTGATTTCCATGTGGTTTGATACAGAATGCTAAGAATTTCATTACGCAGATATAAAATCATCATATACATTCTGCATATCCATGGACATTCTTCTCATTAGAGTATTCGAAATCTTTGTTGTCATGTTAAAAAAACTCAAATTGAGTATTCAGTGGACCAATTCAGAGCAGGGTTTATTACGAAAATGCATTTAGTAAACACACTAACATCCACAGAAATAATCATGAAGTTTTCATTACCATAACTTCATTAACATGCTTTTATAATTAACATGTACCTGGGTGTATAGGTCGTATTTGGTTTCGGAAAAAAACTAAAAGATATTTGTTGTTCGTTCTTTTTTATTTCGTATGTTTTTCCTATTGTGTCTCATTTTACATTGTATTGAAAGACGCTATTAATTTGTGAGTATTGTGTACAAGCATTGAAATGTATGTGTTGTTCAAACGTATCTAATCTTAGGAAATAGCACAGACAAGGCTATTACGAAATTAATTGAATTATGGGTTAAATACACCTTCCGTCTATAACATTAACGTCGATCTGTTTTAAATTGAAAGGTGGTATACATGTATGTCGTTTTTGTAATCTTAGTAAAGTAGATATTTTCTGTATTTTTCATTCATGAGAAAATTGTTTTCAAAATATTCCTCTATAACCGCACCTATACATGTGAAACACATTTCTTTACAAGTTTGTAAAAGGATATAATATATATAAATGATAAGATAAACTAGAACGTACAGTGCTTTCGTCAAATTGTTCACCGCCTCGTTGTGAATCCAGTTGTTGTTTAGCAAAGAACCACAATGGTCAACAAGTATCAATCAATATTCAAATTCAATAACATACAAAATGTACATGATAGGATATAGCTTACAAGTCCATGTTTATATAGGGTCTTATGTGAGAAGAAGAACTTTTAGAGGGTAAATAAACTGTGTTTCATAAATCACTTAGCTATGGAAAGGATTTAAGATAATTTTATCACGTGATCGATTATTCATGCAGATATTGCAAAAAATATATATTTCATTGCCAGACTTGTCTATTTCAACAGCACAGATATGGTCCCAGTTGTTACGATACGCCATTTCATTGTCTTAACTTGACATCAAAATAAGCTGTATAATATATGTATAATACGCAATGATATTAGATGCCGATATTTCCGGAATAACAAGGTAGTCGTGTAAATATATCTGTAATAAAGAGTATGTGATTTTGTTTTGATTCATTTATTTCATCAAGTCAACCTGTCGCAATTTGTGCTATTTATGGCACTGATTTAATAAGATGTTCTTAATATAACAATAAAGATTTAAAATAAAACTGCAATTTTGATTTTATTACTAGTAACGGGTGCATGCGGACACGGCAGCTGTGTTGCCAGTATGGACCATATCAACGTATCATGCACGTGTGATGTGAACTGGACTGGCAGTGACTGTAAAACAGGTAAACTTTTACATTTTGGCAAAGGATGCCGATAACAACAATATCGTTCACCAATATGGTCGTACACAAAAATGCAGATAATTGAATTCCTTACATGAAATGCATACATGACCTCAAAGAACATCGCTTTTGTTGTCCCGTAAGACTTTAAGTGTGTCAATGAAGTATGTCAGTATACTCCAGGGATAAAGTAACGCGGGGTACACTTTGAAGATGATTCTAGGCAAGATGTCGAGTATAATATTCAATATTTCAAAGTAAGAATGAAGATCAATCCATACATAACAAACTGCAAAATCAACGATTTGTATCGGGTAATTAAGATGTAATTGAAGAGAATTGAAAGAGAACTCTGCAATCTGAAATCAAAATGGACTGATTGTGGGAGGTGGTCAGTCAATACCGGTTATATCCCCTATTCGCTCTCTCCACAACCCTGATTCTCCTAGGCATGAAGTTAATGAGTGACTTTATCCTCCGCATGGAGATGTTAACACATTCTTCCAAGAGGGCTGCTTTCAGTTGGATCAGAGTAACAGGGGGAGACTGGCGTCGTCGAACCTGTCTATCCAGATGGTCCCACAAGTGCTAAATAGGGTCCAGTGGGTGGATATTGTTGTTAGTGGAAAGGTCGCGACAGATCCTTGCTACATGGGGCCGAGCTTTATCCTGTTGGAATGTGAGGTTGTTTTGGTGCAATAATGGAATAACATGGGGTCGGAGGAGCTGATCTCTATACCTAGCGGCAGTCGGTATACACGACGTCGACCATCTGCTCGAAACGGGGTGAACAGAGACTCATCCGTAAACACTGCCTCAGTGGGAGTATTCTGGGGGCATGTGCCGCCACCCAAGCCATACGACGTTGTCGACGAACAGCAGTAAGTGGCAGACCTACAAACGATTGACATGCCTGCAGACCAACTTCCCGCAATGTTTCCATAAAGTTTTTTCATGGATAGGATGGTTATGAGTACCTACGGTATTAAGGGCCGATTCAATGGCAATAAGGCGCCGATTAAGCAAATAAGAGACACATAAACCTGCCCTGACGTGTAACGTCACGCGCCGACGCCCCGACCTAGGTCTGTCAGCAACCCGCCTAGTTTCTCGTGGACGTCTGACAGGACGTTCTATAGTGCAAATATTGACACCGAAAAGTCTGGCAACCTGTATTTGCATTTGACCCGGCATAATCATCGCAGTGGCTTGACCCCTATGAACTTCCGGCAGCCGTGCCATTGTTTAATGTTATCAGAAATTAATCAAATTATCGGTAAATGATGTATCTCTTTTAAGACTACCTAATGGTATGACGAACAATATAACTCAATATAACAATACTTCTGTGCACGGGATTTTCCTGTTTCGTGCTTTACCCGGAAAAATTGTCGTGCAAAATAATGATGCCACATTCGATACCGGACCACATGCACTGTATTCTAGGGAGTTGCTTGACCGATTTTCATTGTTTATAATCGCGCCTTCGCAAGATATTGCAAATAATGTCACCCTGCGTTTCTTTATCCCCAGAGTATATATTGTTTACATTTTGACATTTTATTTTTACATTTGGCTAAAAATAAATTGATATATGTCTGTATTGAATATTGATATATTTTTAATATCATATATTATAACAGAGGTTCCTACCACTACTGTCCCGCCTACAACGACTACTGTCCCGACAACAACGACTACTGCCCCGCCTACAACGACTACTGTCCCGCCTACAACGACTACTGTCCCGACAACAACGACTACTGTCCCGCCTACAACTACTACCGTTCCACCTACAACCTCTACCGTCCCGCCTACAACGACTACTGTCCCGCCTACAACTACTACCGTTCCACCTACAACCTCTACCGTCCCGCCTACAACGACTACTGCCCAGCCTACAACTACCACCGTCCCATCTACAACTACAACAGCTCTCCCGCCTACAACCTCTACCGCCCCGCCTACAACGACTACTGTCCCGCTTACAACTACAACAGCTCTCCCGCCTACAACCTCTACCGCCCCGCCTACAACGACTACTGTCCCGCTTACAACTACAACAGCTCTCCCGCCTACAACCAGTACCATCCCCACTACAACCACGTTTTCTGTAACAAATTCAGGTGAGAACAGTTTGATACAGTCCAAATGTACGTCGTAGCTTCTTGGATGAGTAAACGATGGTCATTTATGTCGCTTTCTTAAAATGGTTGAATTTATTATGAAACAAATTGAATTCTTTCAGCAACACCTACAACGGCTTCACCTGTTACAAATAGTGTTATGTGTGGTACACCGTCAACAGTAGTCAACACCCATCTCTTATATAGTGGCACAACTTCTGGGAGTACGGCTTTGTACTCGTGTATCACAGGTTACACCTTGTCGTCAGGTGATGCAATACATACCTGTACGGCGGGAGTATGGGTAGGAAGTCTACCGGATTGCAAAGGTGAGACAAAGTTTCATCAAAACAGCCTCCTTTACAGCTAAACATGTCATGTAGATAACCATATGTATTACCTTTAATTACTCTTTTACCGAAAAAACACAGAAAAAGCTCTACGCACGAATTCCCGTTATACATGTTATTAAACTGAACGAGTATCTAAAGTCACATCATTTGATTACTGAAAGTAATCCCCTGAGAGTAAAATGATTCATATGCATGAAATATTGTTCATCTAGTGAATCATATTAAATATTTAGTAAAGAAGTTTTTTGTCTATGTTTACAATATCTTTTGATACTTAGAGAAGTGTATCCTTCATGGTGATATCTTCTGATCTATTTTAAATACCGAATATTTCACAAATATTCTCTTTATTCATTTGTCATTACAGAAAGATTTTGTGTAAAATAGATATTTACATGTAGTATATTTATATCCTATTTCCGGTCAATATCTTATTCCTTTGTGTGGTCCGTATTGTGATTATAATAACTATATTTGTCTAACGCTTCTGTTTCTTTGTATGCCTGTGGCATTGTAGAACTTGTTTTTTTTCCGCTTCATCCGACCCTGGTGATCAAAGTCTATGACAGAAATCCACATTTGATATGGGATATAATCCTAATCTTAGTTGTTGTAATTTGTAACGCGTTTGTGTTTAGATTATGGGAATATCATAGATATGACCTATGTTGTCCGTCGGTTTATTAATGTTTAAGCAGTATTTCCGTATAAGGTCCTGGCGGGATTCGTTGATGATGCAGAAGACGTTTACCCTTCCGGAGCACCTAGTCTTATACTCATTGTTATGGTTTAGGAGTCTCCGTGTAAATCTTTCTTTTGTTCATATTTTCCCATAGCTATGTTTAAAATGAGTTTTGATTATGATATTTTCACATATTGGTACTTACTTGTTCTTATGATTTGGTTGGTGTCCGTTCCTGTTATATTCCCTGATAGGTCTACTATATTTCCCGGTACGACCAAGTTGTACCTGAACATCCCCTTGAATGGACGTTGTTTTGCAGCTTTTATTTCGTTTCTTTGATTTTTCCAAGGTTTTGTTTATAATTCGGTGCTTATCTATGACGTAGTTGTTCGTCTTTCTTCACAGCTTGTCCAAATCCTTACACGCCCGTGATTACAACACAGGAGGCATTGAACAACAGGTTGGATGAACTGAAGAAAAACACCGAAGTACCTGTTAAGAACACCACCTCTTACAAACGTAGTCTTGTATGTGCAAACGACCCTAGACCATCATCACTTTACGTGGCTACAGTGGGTATCATTATTCTTGGCTTCGTTTGTATTTTCCCGCTCCTTGTAGATGGAATCAATTTTTATAGCCATTTCTTTGAACACAATGACAATAATGCTTGGCTTTTTGATCAGGATCAAAGAAGCGCCGATGAAAGTCTTCAGGTGCCGCAAACACAAACCAATAATTTCGTTCGACACTCTTCACCCATACGGCATGTGTATCAACCATGTTCTGTACACCCAGTCACCTCATGAAAAAAAGAGACGGTGTGATTTTTTTTTGTAAACGCATTGTTTTGTTTTATGAAGTACCGGATATTATTATGTATTTCTTCCCTTGGTTAATGACGACGAGAAGTTTCGATACCTCCGAATTGGGTAATCATACCCCACATGCGGATTATAAACTGTATCAATGGTCAATGGTCGACCAGCTACTGCTATGTAATAAACAAAGATCCTAATATAAGACAATTAGTTTCTGCTTTAAATATGATACATGTGTTTCTTCTTTTAATAAGTGCGCTTATTAATAAGAGCGTTGACATACGCAATTGCCACGCAATTCGACATTCCAAACTCATTGAGGATTGTGTGTTCTCAGGATGCTGAGAAACGGACAGGTTGGTGCTGTTAAGGTTGTTGCCTTCTGTGTGACACGTTATCAAAATGAATGTCGAGTAATGAGCCATCCTATGTTGTTCAACGAGGTAGCCGCAAGCTACTATAGGAAACCCTGCCTCAAAATGGCACTGGCTGTTGAAGTGATAAATCCAGCACATAACGTAAATATTTCAAAGTTTGATTCCTCTAGTTGTATTTACATTGGGAAGTGTGGTTAATAATCTTGAGATGGTTAAAGTTGTCTATTATCACTTTACGGACATCCGTTAAAGCATACAAGTTATACGCGTGCCAATAAACTGAGGCTTAGTGTGGATGTTACGGATTTCCTAGAGTTAAACTAATTAGTTTAGTGGAAACCTGTCCTAGATGGTCCGGAAGCAGTCCTGATTATATGTTGTTATTAGGTCGGTTCCAAAATCAAAGGTAATCGACATGGTCTCAGTCTTAAAATACATTTCATAACTTCTTCAGTTCCATTTGTGCCTTTATGATGACATTGATTTACGGGTTTTTAAGACAAGCAGACTTTGATGATTTATTTTTCGTTATGAAGAGCAATATGTTAAATGATTGAACAATTATTGGATTTTTTTTTCACTACAAGGCACGTTTCAAACGCCTCAAATGCCATCAATGTCATAATTATCATGAAATTGTCTTTACCAAGTGTTGTTCGTCGACCCGAAATCATAGACGGATGATCGCGGCCGTCATCTAAAACAAGTTATAATACGATTGCGTAATCTGTTACCCTGTTGAAAATGGACATTCATTTGATTTTGTCAATACTTATAACTATTATTAAAACCTCTCAAAGTAATTATGAGATGACTGATATGGCTATTGACCCTTTGATATTTGCTTTTTTTAATTTGAAGTCCGAATTGCAGTTATATCGCTTCAAGTAATAACAAGCGTCATGGAATATCTATAACAGTACTTGAATAAACTTTGTCCTGAATATTTCTACTTGCTCAATACATTAATTTGTGATCATATTGCTATTTTATTGATATGTATGTATACATAGAAGGGGAGTGCTGTTTCATCAACAAACGTTTTCAATTTAACCTTTCATACGATCTTTGGTGGTCTTTGTTTTGTACAGTATGTTTACAGTCATGTACATTTAATATTGATTACCAATGCGTTGCTAATAACAGTATTGAGGATGTTTTGTTTTCTGCGCTTGGTATTTATTTTCGTCCATTTCAACGCAGAGCTTAAAATAGGTAGGCTTTCAACATCTGTAATGTTTCGAAGAAAAAGTTTCGACAAGAAAACATTGGGCTGGCCTAAATTTGCAGAGTGCAAAAATACACGTTTACCCTTCCGGCACATATTGTCGATTCACACGTTCATTAGTCGCCATGTATCCACACTCTTTGGTTGATTTGGAGCTACAATAACGGTTTGAAAGATTCTTAAACATGACAATGTAGGTTTATAACCCTCAAAACATATATATTCTTGAAAACAAATATGTTTAATCGTAGGAAATTAAGTACATATATTTCTCACTTCCCCATTCAACCTGTTGTGATCCACAGGCGACCACTAAATCTAAAGGGTCCATTCGTTTTGCGTAATAATTTGGGCATCAAATGTATTTTTGTTTTTTGTTTTTTTTTTCCAAGAAGAGAATGAATGACTGGGAATTTATAAAAAGAAGTGCAAGCTGAGGTCACAACATGAAATAATGAGAATAAAACATAATTTTCCTGACGATAAGACGTCATCTTGGTTTTATTGAATTCACCAATTACACGATAGCAAATTGTGAACAGGAGAAATAACAATACTTGAATCGAGGTATTCACATTTGTGGTTTTGGTTTTCGATTTGTATTTCAAGCCTGTAAATTCATTCAGAAGAACCAAGTGGAATGCATTGCTCGGCATGTGCATTCTGATAACCATATCTTTTTTGTTTGACGAATGCGTTATAAATTTCTTTAAATTGATGGAACAGAATGTTGAATTATTCAGTGCGGGACTTGAAATGCATACCGAATCAGTCAAAATAATAACTAGAATATATTATTTAAAAACAGATGATTTAAGAAATAAAAATCATTTGACGTAATGACAGAAATTAACTTTTATATCCAAAATCTAATTTGTGATGACCACTGCAATGCGATAGATAAACCATTTAGCAAGTTAATACGATAATCCATTAACTTGTTTCGATGAGAGGTTGGAATGATCGTTAAACGTTCTGAATCGCCAAAGGTTCTTTAAAATGGCTGTAACTTACTTAATTTAATATACATATATGTCAAAATCTGTTCAGAGCGGTGTCGATTCGACGGACAAACTAAACATCACAAGTTTCTAAGTTAAGCCCGTGTACAATTGGTGGTAGCTTGTTTTAAGACTAGAAGATAAATGCACATGATTAACACAAAAATATTGATTCAGATGATAATTCAAAGGTAGAAAACACTAAGATGATCGACTTGTATTAAAAAAGTACTCGATTCAAGCTGTAATGTTCCAATACATAATTATTAGATGTAGTAACTTTAAAACCAAACAATACAACCAAAGAGTTATCTCTCTTTGTCCTTGTTCCTGCGTTAACCAGGCTGGAGTATTTGAATTTATTCAATAACAAGACCATGTATGGTACCTCCTTCAAAACTGAAAGACTCATATCTTCTTCAAGATCTAAATAAATAGTCATGGCATTAACTGAACAAAAAGTTAAGCGTAAATAAACTGCATTTATTTAAAAAGTATGGAATAAACTCGAATTGATAAAACTATAAGTTTTAGTTTGATTCGTGGAAATGATAACAAATATCGTGAAGAGGAATAGAAAGAATGTCACACCAATGTCAGCTTCTAAATTCAAGTAATTGGAGACAAACTATCATGATCATACATTTAGTCCATTTTCTAAACAAAGGAACATAGATACATTGTTTATATACTCCTAAAGGATCGTTCAACACCGTCGAATACGTAGTTATTCTTTTATATTTACATTTCTGGTGTGTATCCTGTATATAGACCTACCAACGAAATTGACGTTTACACTTCGGTAAACCTTACGCGTATGAATACACTGGCCTTCAGTAACTTGACAGCAAGCACACTTGGCGTGATGCCAATCAAAACCGGATGGCTATGAATGAAAATGATAACCTACAGACAACTTCTTATGTTTATGAATAAATATAAGTATAATGATAAAAGGGGAAAAATTTTGTAAATTTAAATAGGAAATAATTCAAATAAATGATGCTATATTGTGGAACTATATTTGCTTACGTCTTGTGTATGACAATTGTCCCCGCCAAATTGGAGTCAGCTGTTCGGCTATTCCATCAGATGTCGGGTATTCTCGCCTAAGCGTGTAATGTCCAACAATTGAAACCGGAATTTTTTAATGCGGTATTCTCAAAGAGGAAACCAAAAAAATGTAAATATAAGAAATAATTTTAATTTTTTGTTGTTTACTGGTGTGTAAACTGCATTTTTACAGATATTTTCAATGACGCGCGTTAGCGCGTCATGTTAAAATATCTGTAAAAAAATATTTCTTAAATTAATGATTACAAAGGAATTTCTAATAAAAGTGTTAACACACAGTTTTTTTATGTTGGCGCTTTCAGGGTTTGGCTGTTATTTACTTTTTCTTTACAAATTAGAGAATTCGCGCATTCGTAATACTTTCTATACTTATAGGCAGCATGAATAATATGCAATTTGTGCTATCATATTTTAGAGCAAGATTCAACGCCAAAATAAGGTTTCCGCTAAAATGGATCGTTGGGGAAAACTAAGCTCAAAATTTATGTCACTGCATGAAAGCATCGGCAAAACTTGTTCATGCTTGTATATAAGTATTAATATTTTATCACAATGTGTAGTTTAAACACTAAAAGGATCTACTAATAGTGTTTTTTCTACCTTAATTGGTGATAAAAAGAGTGGAAACCATAGAAACCATATAACTGCAACAACCACAAATGATGCGTGATTTTCAAATCAAGAAAACAATTCGATCATTTCTGAGCAGCAATGGACATTTCCCTCAACATCTCCAATAGTCACGACACTTGAAGTAATGGAACGGACAAAGCTAAGTGCATGTTTTGTGACTTTACTCAAAAGGCAACAAAAAAAAAAAAAAACCCAAAATGAAAACAAAAAAAATAACGCAAATCAAGACACTTTCAATCGCGCGTCGGTTGCTTGTCTCATGTCATTTATTGTACTGTCAAATTGCTTACTTCAAATCAATGACAAAAAAAAAAAAAAAAATCCCAATTTCAGTTGGTCTGATCTATTTGGTACAGTGGATTTTTTTTCAGGAATCTTTCTTTTTGACCCTATTTTGACCAAGTTTTATCGAATATCAGGTTGAATTAAGGTTTTGGTTGACATGTCTGTACTTTTAAAGATATCTCGGGATATCTACATGGTACCTGCAGCACACATAAAAATAATGATACAAAATCCGGAATCAATTTTATCAAATTTAGTCAAATTGTTATTATCCGTGTCAGTTCGTATTTCCCCATGGGGGCCGCACTTACCACCAGCTGACGATGACATTAACGTCAAGTCATTTTCTGGAGAGAAGTTTTTCATTGGCCACCACTAGTGTTCAGCAGG